TAATTATTGTTGTTTCATGGAATCCAGAAGAAAATACTCCAAAGAAGGTTAAATTTTAAAAGACTTGAACATTATTCGAGTTGTAAAAGATGAGAATGGAAACATATTTTTGGACTTAGTGCCTTAGAGATGAAAAAGGTGACCATATCTTCAAAATTGGGATATTGCTGATGATTTCTATAATAATTATTAATAATGATCATTTTTACTTATCTTTTAAATTATTTGTAAAATATGGCTCACCATGCTTAGACATACTATCTGAAAATTATTGAAACCTGGAGAATTAAGCACATAAGCTAGATGCTGAAGGAATGAAGCATGACAGATAAGAAAAGGGCATAGTGATAATTAGCAAGTATGCAAAAAAAGGAGCTAATTTATGAGGAGAAGGCAAAAGATAAGCAAGTGTGTAAGTGGGGATGCAGAATTTGGAAAGATTGTTCATGTTGATGATAATGATGTTTTCGTTCCTAGATGGGATTAAACTTTCAAGACTTATCTAACATTGTAGTAAGAAAGGAGGATGCTTTGCATGTAAATGCAGTTAAATTTCTACGTCTGAAAGAGGAAGAAGTGAAATGATCTCTGAAGAGTAAAGAGAGAAGGAGAAAAGTGGGTACCACATGTTTAAAACAAATAAAAAATGACTCAAATAGTCAAGGAGTTTGGGTTTTAAAGTTAAGCAGGGAGAGTACCACTTCCATGCTCCTAATTCATTCAGGTCATACAAGGTGAAGTAAAGAATTTTCCCAAGGAGTCTAGTCTAAATGCTTAAAAACAGAAAGATTTGGGGCTGAAATCCCAGGTAGAAATACAATGTTAGTTATTTCTTAATTATTCCTCTGGGCTTATGTATATTTTTCCCAGGAGCCTGCTAGGATGTCTTTTACTTTTTCTTCTGTTTCCTTTCTTCTGTGAGGAAAATAGAAATCAACCCTGAACAGCTTTAATGAAAGACAACCTTCCAAACCTGATTTATAGTGTATCACAAAATCAATAATTAACTCATCAAATCCCAGGAAATATAAGACCCACAATAATAAAATCATGGGGCTGGGATGTGGCTCAAGCAGTAGCGGGCTTACCTGGCATGCGTGCGGCCCGGGTTCGATCCTCAGCACCACATACAAAGATGTTGTGTCCGCCGATAACTAAAAAAATAAATATTAAAATTTTTTCTCTCTCTCCCTCTCTCACTCTCTCTTTAAAATAATAATAATAATAATAATAATAATAATAATAATAATATCATGTGCTGTGAGTCGGGTTTGAATGATTCTCCACAGTTGCAAGGTTTAAAATGACTTCCTTCTTAAAATTTACTTTGGAAAGAGAGATATATTCATCAACCCTTCAAACACTCACCCACATGCTGCACCCATGTACACAGATAATGAAGGAAGGAAGTTCCCCAGGAAGTGAAAGAAGAGAACATTCACAAGGGTAGCCAGACATGAGAAGTCATGGCCCACACAGAAAACCTCAGGTGCTCAATAGTGACTGACACAGGTGTGAGTGGGACAAGAGATATACCGTGAAAAAGAGAGGGAAGGTGTAAGTTAGACATTAAAGGATTTGGACATCATTTTTATGATGAAAATGATAGGAACCTACTAATACTATGATTTCTATATTATGATGAAAAATCTGACCAATATGTTCTATTTTACTAAGTATTTTATAATATCAAGTGCTGTCTAAACTAACAGATAAGCAGTTTGAAGTTCTCTATTTCCACAAAAAACATGAATCGAAAAAAATACAATATTTGCTGAAGCTGAGAAAAAAGAAACCGAAACTTCAATTCAGAAAACTAAGGGAAAGCTCTGTCATGCCTCTCGTGTGATTTGCACAAGGTAAATTTTTTTTTCTATAATGCTATTCTTTTCCTTTTCTCCCTAAGAATTCACCCTTCAGACTCAACTCAAATCTCTCCTTCTCTAAGAATCTTGACTTGACTTCTATAAGACTTAATTGTTTTCACTTTTTCTCATTTTTCCTTCTGTAGAACTCTATTCTAAAACTCAGGGCTTCATTATAGATGTGAATTTGCCTCTCTTCTATTCCCCTGGCTCTGCACCAGAGACCGTCATTCAGTTTTTTATGAAGTAGGTGAGGAAATACACCACAAACCATTTCAAGTTAATTTGTTATAAGTTATGTGGCTGAAAAACTTATGTGCCTTCAGAGAAATAGTTTCAAGGGACCTTGATATATGCAGTTGTATGAGTTAGGTATGTTTATTCACTCATTCATTCACAGAAAAAAGGAGACCCAAATGGGTCATAAAAAATAAACTCAACCCTTCATCTACCTACCCACATGCTGCCCCCATAATACCAGGGCTGGGAGCATGAAAACTCATTGAGCAGTCTCTCATGCCAGCTGGATTCTAGTTCAGTCTGCCTATGAGAGACATTTGCAAGAGAGTAGAAGTCACAAAAATGTGGAAGGCATCTTGATTTTCTCTGCTTCTGGTAGGGGAGTCTGAGGGAGTGGCGACTCCGGACTTCTGTTCAGCCATGTGGCAATCCTTCACAGCTGTGCACAGTGGCTCCACCAGCAGTAGTGACAGTTTCTGAATGTGTCTGTGGATTGTTGGCTACAGGGTTATCACAATTTTTCTCCTTCCTTCTCCAGCCCATAAGGTCAGTAGCAGTTTCCTGCAGTTATTATCTGAGAAATAACGCTTCTAATTTTTTTACTCCAATCCTTTCAATAATTTTGCAATCATTTGCTTGTTTTAAATTCCCCTCTGTTTAAAATACTTACAGCGGCTACTCAATACAAGGGAGAGAAGATGCTGGCACAGATAGGATGGTAACAGTGGCGATAGAGAAATATATGGATTTGAGCTCTGTTTTTCAGCAGAACTAACCAACTCATTGATGGATTGGACTTAGGGCATGAGGTAAATAAAATGATCAGAGATGATTCTCACTCTTTGGTGTTTTACTGATAGGGAAAAATTAAAGAGGAACAAATTGGGTAAGGAATATAAGTATACTGAAATTATATCTGGAAGCATTTAGATTGTTAAGAGAATGTCCCCCAGAAACGGCCCTTGTAACTTTAGTCTAGTTGAAGCAGGGGACAAGAAAGGGACTGAACATATACATTTTATCATTTAGATCAGGTTAGTGGTTACTGGACTTCAAGATCAGAACACTGTATCAGGATTTTATTATTTTGAAGATTTTATTTTTTCTGATGCTAGGGATTGAACACAGGGCCTTGTGCATGCAAGGCAAGCACTCTACTAACTGAGCTTTATCGCCAGCACCAAGATTTTTCTTTTAATGCAAAAGACTAGTAAGAATTATATAACAAATACACATTGGCCCAACACTAAAGCTGGCAAGATTATCAAATTACCTCCCCACTTTGTATATTTGCTTCAATCGCTTATAAAACATTATAATTAAACTTATCCTCTATGATCCATCCTTAGGCTTTGTTCTGTTGTCTTACTTTCATGAACTAAATTAAGTGTTTAGTTTTTTATTTATATTTTAATATTTTGAATACATATATACATATAGATATGTGTGCTGAATGATGTTTCTGTAGTCAATGACAACTCTTGCCATGTATCCCAGTGGCCTCATTAGTATGTGTAAGTATTCTCTACGATGTTTGCACGATGACAAAATTGCTCAACAATATTCACAACATATCTCCACCATTAACTGATGCCTGGCTTTATAATTGAGTATATTGCTTTGATGCTTTGATTCTACTTCCTGAGCAGAATAATTTTTTCCTATAGATTTCTCTAAATTGTTAATATCTATATGTGTGTACATATGTCACAGTAAAACTATTAGTTTCCCTAATCCTCGGTTTTCTCATTCATCAAATGGGAAAGAATGATAACTATCTTATAAGATATTCTGAGGATTAAAAGATATCATCCAGGTGATCCTAAGCAATAACATAAGCCCCTAACAAATGATATTATATAGAGAGGAGCTGATGGAGAAAAAAAATCTTCTTTAAAAAAATCTTAAGGCCAGGCATGATGGTGCATAGCTATAATATCAGAGACGAGAGGCTGAGGCAAGAGGATCGCAAGTTTAAGGCCAGCCTCAGAAATTTGGTTAGACCCTTTCTCAAAATAAAAAATAAAAATAAAAAGGGATGGGGATGTAGTAAAGCATCCCTGGGTTCAATTCCCAGTCCACAAAATAACAGACTTAAGGCAGGCCCACTGGGACAGGTACGTGGCCTGAATGCTTGGGGAATTTCAGCTGTATATACTCTGTCAATAGGTTTGGAATAAACTACACTCTCTGTGAGTATTTCTAAATCTTGTATTGCTCTCAAATTCAACTGTTATATCCTGTTTGATTGTGAAATTCTGGGTGGTCAAACTGTGAAAATCATCTTTGTGTCTCTAGCACCTAATATTGTACCTGGCCTAAAATAGAATATTAGTATGTTTTGAATGAGTAAATTCAAGAAACTTGCTGTTCCATGCAAAGAGAGATTCCTCTATGTGTGATAAATAATTAACAGCATTTTTTTTTGTACTAGGTATTGAACTCAGGGGTGCTTTACCATTGAGCCACATCCCAGTCCTTTTAATTTTTATTTTGAGACAGGGTCTTCTAAGTTGATAAGGCTGGCCTCAAACTTGCCATCCTCCTGCCTCAGCCTCCCAAGTCACTGGGATAACAGAGTGCACTACAGTGCCCAACTCTGAAGCATGTTTTTAAAGTACATTTGAGGAAATAAAATTCTTAGTGCTGGAATTGGTACAGTTGATATTCCTTGATATTATAATTCTTCACAAACTAGAAATCTAAATGGCCCAATATGAGAACTAAAAGTTCAAGAAAAGAACCAAAGTAAAGAAGAAAAAAAGATGACTATCTTACAGCATTTTCTAAACAAGGGGACACCTGTTTTAGTGTGATGCATGTATGTAAAAATAACTCATTAATGAAACATTCTGTATGTATATCATGTGATAAAAAGCACACTGTGGAAATCAATGATTTTCACCTGTATTTAATATATGTTAAGTGGGTGTTTTAAACATTGCTATTTCACTGTACATATTCATTGTATTTATTAATCAGAACATGTTTTTAAAGATGCCTTCATTTCATAGTACTATATTTTTAATTATGTGCAAATATTAAGCAACTAACATAAAATATCCACTCATATTCTTAATGAATATGGATATGACATCCCAATTCTTTTTTTTTTTTGCCACTCCAAGTCACACCAAAAGCTGCATATTGAGTCATGTTAAGTAATACAAAATGGTTATACAATAAATTGAGATCACACTTGGACTAAATACAGAAAGCCCTACATTTCTGATGGCATCCACACATTATAGAAATTAGACATTCAACCATACATTGTAATTAGAAAATTACAGACACATGCCTCTAAATTAATGCCAGTAAAAATTAATTACAACAAAGACAATGACAATGAAAATCTCTGTACAATGAAAAGATTTCTGAATCACAGACGATAATCAAATTATATTGAAAAAAAAAAAAAACCTCAACACTAAGGCAGTTCAGTGCAATTCAGTAATTGGCCCACCTCTTGAGAAGTATTTATTTTTAATCACAGCAAATTTACTTGAAGAAATTACCCTTCAAATTTTACCCCATGTTAATTTATAGTCTCCTGCTCATCCTTATTTTTTATTGTAGCATTTTATTTTTAATGTTATACCACTGAGAAATTTCTGCTTTACAAAAGCTTGTATATTTTAATGTTGCCACATTACAGATATCGTTAAAATACTCAATACCTGGAGTATGTTAAAATCCCAGCACATATTTAAAACCATTATCAAAATGTAATGCTGATTTACAGGATTTCTAAAAAAAAAACAAGTTAGCCCTTCAAAGTGTCCTACAAAGCCTTTGTCTTTTCTGAGTACAATTCTATTCTTATTCTCCAAGTAGCAAGTTAGAGTGTGTGGGATATATTTGCCACTAAACCTTTCTGTTTGCAATGCAAACACTAAATCACCTAATAGAGTCCTATTTCAGCTGCTAAATAGAATTATTTATGACATCTTTGGAATATAATCATGTGAGTTACACTTAACCATCTGTGCCTTTTTGTTTCTTGCAGACAATTTGCAATGGTGGAGTAAAATATTTTTGTTTGGATATTTGTTTTTTATTAAACAGATATGCCAAAATCATCTTCATAGTATAGTAACATTTTATTCTATCATTTAGAGTAAGGTAATCCATTTGCAGCAACTTGATATAAAATGAAATAAAAATTAGTATTATTCATAATAAAATACTACCATACACATTGAAAACATAATCAAAAATGGCAGAGAGATTCCAAAGATAGACATACAACAAGTATTAACCGTCTGCATGGTAACACATTGAATAAGGGTTCTTTGAAGTAGTTGGAGAGTTATAATTACTGAGCAGGCAAGATCATTAAATAATTACACATTTTGATTAAAAAATATATGTAGTTCATTAAGACAGGGACTCTAAGTCTACTTCTCTAGCTAAGTTCTCTTCAGATGCCAAGTTTGTACTTTAATTAGAACAAAAGACCCACATTAACTTCAATGCAACATAATCATTCATAATAATGACTGTATATTAATCTCTTGAGCTTGCATGAATATAGCACATGACATATGGCATAGTACAGGCACCTGTGTGGTCCTTTGGGGACTGAGGTGGTGCATGTTAATTAGCCCCTGGAAAATAAAATCTGTTTCCCTCTGAGAAAAACAACCTCAGTGCTTATTGGCTGCAGACATCAAAGGAATCAGGTGGAATACTGCTCGGCTCTGTCTACACTCATTAAAGATCTGACTAGAAGTAGACACTGAATCAACTGTTTCTGAATTAATTCTTGACTGAATCCTGCACAAGAAACAGAGTAGCCATGCATTTCTTTGGCCTAGCTGATTGGATTTTTGGCTGAAGACATCAGAATTACCATTTTGGTTACAGCAAACTACATAACGGTGTAACGCAAACATAAAATAATATAACCAGAAGCTTAAAAATTGGAAGCAGCTTCTTTTTCTTCAAAGCTATACTTGAAACTGCCTTAATTTAATATTTTACTTTGCGAATTCTGATTCAATCTGAGTATGAGATTATAAATGCCTGTAAGAAATATGTCATCTTTCAATAAGCCAGGTCTCAAGATTGTTAGGTGAAGGCACTTTACATCTTTGAAAGATAAAGGAAAGGTATTATAGAACTAAAACTCTGACTGATTAATATGTATTTATCTTGTGATGGGCAGATCTTAAAATTAGTTCTCAGTGGGAAAAAAAAAAAAATGTCTATCCCCATTGCCAGAGTGTACCTGGAAAAAGAAAACAGAAAATTGAGTGGACAGAGAGAGAGGATTAGAAAGGGCTACATTTTACAAATTTCTTTTGCTACTCATCTTCACGCCACTTATAATTCTGAGATGTACAAAACAAATCCACTTATCTGAAAAATATTCACATTTAATGGGGATATTTAGAACACTGAAGCTTTTTAGGATCTTTTAGAATAGCAAAATTTAATGAGGCTTTTTTGAAGTTAGCAATTTAAACTCATGTAAGAATACAAATTCACAAGTGTGACTGGGCAAATTATTTCTTTTCTAAAATAACACATTGTTTCCCCCCAGCCCTGGGCTGCGTCCATGATCCTGTTATCAAAGTGTTACATTGCTGATATGTTTATTGGAATATTGGGCCCATTTCCCTTCCACTTGACACATGGATTAGCAGTTTAAAATAATTCCTTTCTATTAAGCAAATGTGTGACTAAGGCACACTTAAACAGCCTATTAAACCAATGAGATGACAATGTGCTATCCTCAGATAAAGTTTAATTTTTGAAGTAATTAATTACACATACCACAAAATGTCTCAGGAGAACATTTTGACTAGGCCTATCAACTTATCATGCAAATAATTATAGTATTTTATTTGAGGCAAAGATGCTGATTCATCATTAGTAAGATGGCAACAACAATTTATTTTTGTGACACTCATCTTTCCAGTGGGGAAACTACTGTCTGCTATATATTTATTTAATTTAAAAAGTCAATTAGTTGTTCTGAGGTTTTTAAGACTGATATAAAACTGTGGTTCTAAATCTCAACGAAATCACATAGGCATTTGGAAGGGGAAATTGTGACTGTGGTGTTTGGTTTCCTTTTCCTATTTATGGGTCTAGTAGCCCTGATAGTCTACAATGGTATACTTCTGATGCCTAGAAATATCCCCAAATTTACTAAAACATGCACATCATTATTGAGGTAGGCTACCACCATAAGGACTCCTTTCTTCAAATTCTTTCACCATATTACAGAAGAAGTAGATAAGACAGTCTGGTCAGTGGTTTTAAAACTTTCAATTATATCACTTTCTCGAATCAAAAGGTTCCTCTGATGTTTTCTATAGTGCTCAGTGTGAAGAACACAGGAGTGGACAGTAGATGGTTCAGCAGAGAAAAGGGAAACACCTCACTATCTTTTATTAACCTTGGAATTTTGGACAAGTCACTTAACCTAGTTTCCTCATTTTAAAAATTGGTTGTTAGAGTGATTCAATTAGGAAAAAAAATATCAACCTTGTCTGTCATGCAACAGGCACAAATGCTGACTGCATCAGAATGGTTTTCTTGGAAATAAAATAGGTCCTTTTTTTTTTGGATAATGTCATTTAATAAAACTTTATGGTCCTTCTGATTAACTTAGCTATGTTGCCAACTAAGGTTTTCTCAAGACCCAGAATTAATACAGATGAGAAAATCTTAACCTTTAGTGTGCTTAAGGATCATCCAGAAATCAAAAGATATTTTTAGGTTTTTTTATCCCAATTTTCACATTTTGAGAAATATTACTTTAGATTGCTGATTGTATACTGAGCTGAAAAGTGCTTTCATAATTTTTTTTTTTTAATTTTGGTACTAGAGACTGAACCCAAGGGTGCTTAATCACAGAGCCACATCCTCAGCTCTTTTTATTTATTTTGAGACAGGACTCACTAAGTTGCTTAGAGCCTCAATAAGTTCCTGAGGCTAGCATGAACTTATAATCCTCCGGCCTCAGCCTCCCAAGTCACTAGGACTATAGGTATACACCACCACACCTGGCTGAAGTGTTCATTTGTAGAAACATTGTGCTCAATGTCTTCCCTCCTGTGTTCTCTCGCTTCCTGCAGAGAGGTTCTCCACTTGCTTCTGTGTCACCAGTCTCTGTACTTTGCCTGAATTCCCTGGGAAATTTTGGTTTGTCAGGTATAGTCAGGGAGTAAGCCAGTGGGGAATTAAAAAGTGGTATGCCTAACCCAGACAACATTTGACAGAATGGCTCGGTACATAGAATATACTGGATGAGGTCATGTAACCTTGTATCCTTAGGGAGAGAGCATGATGCACAAGAAAGCAGAGAATCTGACATTCCAGCTAGTTTTTTTCCTGTCACTAAATATGTGACTATTTCTAAATTTCTTAGTCACTGTATCATGACAGTACCTTCTCTGGTTGAATGCAAGATCCTAGGGCTTAGATCAAAGTGTCTCTCAGGCTTCCTCACATCTCTAGGACCCAGGCTTTCCATAAAGGGCAGTGGGTACCCTACCTGAACACAAATTCCAGAGATACACATTTGCCGTGTTTTCTTAGGATAATAATCACTTATGATTCATTATCTCCTGGCACAATTCTACGTATGAAGTATTTTGAGAAGTACCAGACACCCAGATGTCTTGGAAACAATTTAAATGTTACTATGAATTCACATAACACTTGCTGTAATGTGTTCAGGATTTTTATTTACTTGGATTTATTGTGGAGAGAAATTAAAACGATACAAATCTGGAGGGGGCCTTGAGGTAATCATATCATAGTTGTAATGCTGTTAGTTAAGCGGTTTGTCATAGTGAAAGATGTAGAGCAGAATCTATAGAATTGTGGAACATCTATTGTAAATGTTATTAAGCTTCTTCACACAATCTCTTGAATAAACTAATAAAGACATGTTAATTCATATACTTAACTGCAGTTTTCATATAACAAATACCTCATGATATAGAAGTAAGGAACGTAAAATAATGAGATTTTTTTATGTATGCCATGTGACTTACCTATGTAAACAGTCTTTAAAAAAATAAAGAGGAAAAACATTTTCTTCTTTCAATACTATTGTGAGTTATGGGAGTGAATTTAATTTATTATTTTTTTCCTAAAGTGGTAGACTACCAAATTGATAATAGTTTGTCATTATCTGTTATATAATTCAACTCCACATGAGAAACTGAGTGAACACATTGGACTCTGATTGAATATTTAAGATCCTGATATCAGGCGTTCTGCATAGGCCCATACATGTCTATGTGGGTAGTCTGACTGCTTGTGTGCTATTGATTTTTGCAGAGCATTCAGGGAGCTGACATCAATGCATGCAGGAACCTAATACTCTTAGCCATTTCCTAAACACATTCTTCAACATGGAAAATATTTTCAAATAAGTAAATGGGTTAAAAAGAATTGTAAAGTACTTAAATTTTTCATGTAAAAATATGTGCACACAGGCAATTCAGATGCAAATGAATTTTTGTTTGAATTGTCTACTAATTGCCTTAATTCTCTGCTTTGAACATATAAATATTACTTAGGATAGAAGCAGCTGACCATATAAATCAGTTAATCAATATTGATTAATTCTTCCCCTTCAGCTTTATCTTATACTAAGGTTAGGCTTATGCTTATCTGTAAGAAGTGAAGATTCAGATGTATAGGGATGGTCTACAATGTTGTACTGGCAATGTGTAATGGGGAAGTGTATGTGAATGTTGAGTTTGGGAGGGAAAATGTATTAACAGACATTTGTAAGGAGTTATCCAATATCAGAAGAACATTTTACAAATAGCTTTTAAAGGTAAGCTAAAGTTTAACCTGTCCATTAACAGAAAATTATTTTAGAGTTTGTGGGGATAAAGGATACTGGAGCTAGTCAATGACAATATCAGTTTGAACAGCTGAATTTCTTACTTGAGAGCAGAACAGAAGTGAGGGAGAGACACTCTTATGGAAACATGGCATTGTGTGCATGAATGAAGTATGCATATTTTCTACACTTATTTTTTTTTTTTTTACCTAAGCCACAACTATGGATAAAGAAGGAAAAAAACATCAAATTTTCTTCATAGATTTACAGAAGTTTTTGTTGACAAAAACAAATATTTCTTTCATAGTAACTTCTTTTTTGTCAGTAGCATAAAAAGCACTTTGGTGATATTTTTGGTTTTCAAAGAGAAGCATTGCTATTTTGCTGAGGAAATTATATAGTGTTCTGTGAAAACTGCCTTACAGCAAGGAGTTTTAGAAAAGATCGGAAGGAAAAGCCATGTGAGATGTTTTCATTTTAGAAGTAACCTCTGTTTCATTGATCCCAACAGAAACCACAGAAAAAGAAATAAGAAATGTTTTTTTCCCCTCATAAGACAAATATATCACTCCCAAAATTCTTACAAAACCAACTGAGGCAAATTAGGGGTTTCAAAGCTAGTCACCTTATAAGTTGTTCAGAAAAAAATTTGCATTTAAATTGCTCTGTGCAGCTACCTTGAGATTTTCCCCTGGAATGTTTATGGCTCTTTTTTTCATTAATACTTAAAAAATACAATTTCATAACCAGTGTATTACTACATCTAGTTGTGTTAAAAAAAGGGAACTTCATTTCATAAAGTAGAAACATTCAAAGTGGTTTTGGGCAACCAATCACTCAGTCAAAATACTTGAATTCTTCATATTGAACACTTAATAGTAAAGTTAATCTGAAACCATATCAACTCTCCATTTCTATTATAAAAACTCAATCATTAATAGCTCTATCAGAGAGAATAACTTGTGCTCCTACACATTTTATCTAGAGAAGTGAAGATATCCAGAACTTCTTGGAACTTTCCCCAAAAATAGTTTATATATAAAAATACAGCAGATTTTTTTTAACAGATAAATCTTAACTATTTTTTTTCAAATAACTTGCCTTTACATATTCAGAAATGTAGATATAAGAAAAATACTAAATGTGCAAAGTGCTCTTTTATATGTACATTAAAAAAATACAATGTAATAATAGCTTTAAACATGTCAAAGAATCATAGGAGGGAGAGTCTTCAATGTCAGAAAATCTGGTCTGATTAGAGCTTTTGCTTGTAGAATTGTAAACAAACTTTTTAAACTGCTGAGAGTTTTCTCAGTTCTTTCCAACCAAGACACTTTCAAATACATCAAGTCCTGCTTTGAAGTAAACCTGAGCTGAATTAATGCTGTTCAACACATCTGACAGGGTTTCTTGGAGAGTCTCATTTGATGTAAGTGACTTGCAGTGTTCCCAAGCCTCCATGAGTATGGAAAACTGGCTTGTCTTCTCATCAGTGTGGTACAGGATGTTTCTGAAAGGAAAAAAGGAATGTGTAAATGTTTCATGCACAATGCCACTTTCATATCAAACATTGTAATGAATACTACCAGAAGCAGTGTTGTTTGCAATATATGAAGACATTATAAAGGTAATATTGCTATTTTTTGATACTTAATGAATTGAGAGATAGAAAACATTGACCATCAGTAGTTTCCCATTTTGACGACATTAGAGGAGATAATCAGACATGGGCCTCCTGTTGGAAATATGGTACATTATGAAATAGCATAAACAATTTTGCTAAAAAATAAAAAAAATTGATGTGAATCTGATGAAGCTTCCAAATTTAATTGCTAATAATTTCAAGGGACAGAATTGTGCTAAATCATAGCACAGTATGTTCTAGAAAACCACAGACTGCAACAATATCTAGACAACAAATAACTCAGTTTGTTCAACTAATAAATTTCATTTAAAAAGTAGAGAAAGGAGGAACCTGTAGACCAGAGTTTCTCAACCATGTTCTACTAACACTTTGGGCCAGATGGATCTTTACTGTAGTGACTCTCCCGTGCACTGTGGGATGATAAGCAGTATCCCTGGACTACATGGGCTAGCTATTAATAGCATCCTTCTTTTTGTATCAAGAAATGAAAATGTGTGCAAACATTGCCAAAATATTCCTAATAGGGCAAAAATAACCCCAATTAAGAACTAGTGTTCTAGACTAAAAGAAACATGTCAACCAGTCACAAAATAAAGATTTTGTTAGATTTTACGCAAACAAATACATTAATATGGGAAGTACAAAACTGAATACTGATTATTGATTGATATAAAGCAATTGTTAATATTTTAGATATCATGGTATCATTAGCATGTCTTCTAAAATTGCTGTTGTCTTACGATAGTATGTAAAGTAATATTTGCAAATAAATGTTATGATTTCTGAGATTTACTTTAAAAATACTTGGAGGGAAAAATAGAGTGGAGTTATAAACAGTATATATAAAATTATATGAACCATTAGGTAATAATTGTTAAAAGTGGGAAATGAAATTTATTATACTATTCCCTCTTCTTTCTTACATGTTTGTCATCTAGAATGACATTGTCTTAGTGTGTAATATGATGGTTTCCTGATACTTAGTCAAATGATTGAGAAAGAGGAATTTAGGTATACAATAGCATATTCCTGTAATCCCAGCAGCTCAGGAGGCTGAAGTAGAAGGATCAAAACCAGCCTCAGCACATTTGTGGCAAATATATTTCCAGAGCTTAAAAGTAAATAGATATTTTCAAAAGCTGTATCAAATACTTCTATTCCTTGAGGACATATAGCTCAGCTTGCTCACAAACAAAAATATTATAATCATTATTATAAAAACTCCTCATTAAATGAACTGTACCACTGCAGTTAGTACATTATGAAGAACCTACTTAATGATTCTTAGACTATTACAGTGATTTTCTCCACTATTTAAAAACCGATATAAAGTACATTCATATATATACAGTCTATGCCTATTAAATGTTAGATATTAATATTCAGTCAAATGATAAGATGATATTAATAAAACATGCTCATAAAGGTTAGAGGATTGATCCGTTGATGACAATTCATTCAATCATGAATAGTCTCTAATATATTTATGTAAAATTTTAGTCCTAACTACTGCAAAATATCTAGAAGAGAGATAATATGGAAGAATAAAAATACATCCTACAATGAATGTCCAGGTATAAAGAACAAAAAAAAATGATTATAATTACTTTTTAAATACCCACATTTGCTCTTCCTAACTAGGAAGCTACATAGTAACATGCTTTTATAATGACTGTAAACATTCCATGTGAATAAAAATGAATCTTTTTTTGCTTTGTGAAATTCTACAAGGAGCTAACCACATTTTCCATATGCTACATGAATCGAGTAGTAAAGTTATAGCAAGCTATTATACAGATAAACACTCATATCCATTTCTACCAAAATTGGATACAAATCAGAATAAAACTACAGATACTGAGATTCTAGTTGAGTACAAGACACTAAAATGTTTTCATCTCAATTTACGAGAAAAATCTTCATTTGAGTAGATGCTGATGTAACTTAAGTTAGTTTATCATTATTATAATAACAAAGGCTCATTTTCCACCTTGAAAGACTGCATTACCTGCAAAACAAATTATGGATAACAAAAAATAAAAAAAATCTTTAAATTTTCATTAGATGGATCATTTCTCCTACTGATTTGCAGAAGTAGCTCATCTTTTCCAATTTCTGTGTGTGTGTGTGTGTGTACTAAAAACCATATAGCTTCCTGCTTACATAAAATAAAATTCTGCATTTGCATTCCTTTCTGAAAGGTAGCATTATGTTATTTTATTTTTAATATTTGAATTAAGCCTAAAACAAAACCCAGGCAATGCTTAAATTCCATCACATATATTCTTACGTATTTCTTAGTTCTGAGATCATTCTTATATACTCAACCATTAAACTTACATATTCCAGGATAATCTCTGCTTACCAAAACTATGATTGTACCATTTTTAATATGCAAATGCTTTTTTTCTTTTAAATATTTTAGTTAAATCAATGCTTCTGATGGTAACCTCTAAATCTTCTAAACATCTTTGTATTACCACGTGATGCCACCAAAATTGAACTTTAGTCCAACAAAATGCAGAGATTTCAACAGCATATCTGTATCAGGCTGCTTAAATGTTTCTTCTTCCTAATTATGGATCAATATTATTCCAATTAGGTCAGACCCGGAATGGATCCATAGTCTGTCAAAAGTCACAGGTCTGGAAGGAAAACTGAGTGGAAGTGAAAAAAAAATACATTTGAAGAGTTTCTATGTCAATAATCTGTACTTTACAACCACAAAAATGTATATCCCTTAGTGAACCATTCATGCTCTTAGATACATCTGCTTCAGTACATTTCAGAAAGTTTCTCTGCATAAAGAATGGACTGTATTAGCATGGCTCTAAGTCAATAAATCAGAATCCTATTTGCATACACACAACATGCATCTCAGCATGGCATGTAGAGACATCAGATCTAATTAAAATATTATTTAATTGAAATCATTTTAGTAGCTATCATGTTTAAAATAACATTAATTCCACCCTCATGCCTATCTCTCCTCATCTGTAACAATTTGGATCTTATAAATGTAATTCATACAGTCATCCTGACCCACACACAACACAAAGAGACTACTAAAAGGAAAGTGTAATACATTATTGATGACACTAATGAAATTACAACACACATCACTCATTTTAATGGGTCTGTTTCAATGACACATCACGGTGACCAGGAAAGAGCAGTGCCAAACTCAGAAACCTAATTAATAACTCCCGGCAGCATTGGTGAGGGAGATGAAGTGTCTTTACTCAACTGACAAATCTTTCCCATTCAACTAATGCAAAAGAAAACTGGAAAAAAAAATGAATTTTGAAATAAAGGCATTTAAAATCTTCATGAGTCATTACCCTGTGTGTGAATTAGCAATTAATGATGGAAATGATAACTCTCTTTCAAATATTCCTTTTTATATTCATCAATGGCACAGGATGCCACCCATTGTAAACCTGAATTAACATTCATTATACCTCATGTTGAGAAACTCTTAATGAAATCACACTAAATAATAAGTCATGTCTTGCAAAGTTGATTGTGTATACATGCTGAATGCAAAGAGAAAGGGCTAGCTCTAGTTCTCATAATTGTTTCTAATTCTTTTAGGGATTGTACTAACTGTACTCCATAGTTAACAGTGGACTATTATATTTATATCAATATTAGAAAAAAATTATTTGACTTGGATGAAAATTCACAAAACACATGTCTACCCTATTTAAAGTGCAAACAAATATCCTTTCAGTTAAATTTGAATTTTGTCTATCCTAGTCAAAGCAGAAGGAAAATTAAGACCATGGTTGATATTGTCAAGTCTTAAACTTATGCTCCAGACATCTGAGACAGAAAGACATGCATGGTAGATGGTTTGCAAAAATGGACTGGGGATCTAGCTCAGCGGTAGAGTGTGTGCTTAGCATGCATGAGATCTGGGTTCAATCTCCAGCACCAATAAATAAACAAACAAACAAATAAATAAATTTTAAAAATGGCTACAGTGAGTCCCCTTTCTGTTATCAGACTCCATTAAAACTTGACTTTGCATCTCATTCCATCAAGGTAAAGAATTTATTTGAATGCTTGAAACTGGTTTGGCCTTAATATTTGCTTTGAGAAATAAGAGTGTGGCATATACACTATGCGAAAGCCTCAATAGATCCTACATGCTTCCGTTCTGTCTCTTGCCCAAGCTATTGTGAAATTCATACTGGGTTAGCCTGCTGGAAGAATAGGTACCACACGGAATACACAAGATCTGAACAGCGAGGCCTTCCTTTTCCAGTTAAAAATCAGATGAGTTGGTGCTCAACTTGTTAAGACAACCAATGCCCACTGATTACAGACACAACACAGCCAGGACAGAACCTCTCCATCCCAGACCAAGAACCACACAACTGACTTCAGCCTAAATGGTCAAGCTAAAGAAATACGGACAAAATAAACAATTATCATTTTAAGCCACTAAATTTTGGAATGATTTGCAAAAGATAGGTGATATAATTTGGTAGTGCTTCTCTTCTGGAAGAGAAAGGTTTATGTTGATATAAGAATGAGTTCTCTATTATCTTTTAACACATTGACAGGGTACAAGGTGTAGTAGGATTATACAAGTCTTCAAATGACCAACTAAATTCAGAGAACAATGAGAAAATCATGTCAAATAGTCCTCATGAGGTATACATTAAAAAGTTTATTTGTGTTGATTCATTAAGTTTTAAAATTGTTTACAGAGTGCCAGGTGGGATTTTTTTTTTCATTAAACACACACAAAGTCAACCAATATTATGAACTGAATATTTGTGTTCCTTCAAATTTATATATTGAAGTCTTATCCCCACAATGTGATAGTACCAGGAAATGAGGGCTTTGGAAAGTAA